AATTTGGGTGGGTTGAATTTTTGGCTTAAAGAATACTGTAAAGAATTGAATTAAGAATAAATATCAGTGTTTTTTTTGTGATTGATTCCACTACTTCAGTCCACATAGAATTTACCAGAATTTCAAAACTAGTCCCCTTAAGAATTTTCCTGGTAATCTCCAAAAGGATAAACCAATCAGTATTGATAAGCATAAGAATTCGGTTATACATAAGTGCTAAAGGCTCTTTTGAATATTGCAGACTATAGCGAGCTTTAGAAGCTTTTGTGGCAGGACGCGTTGAAGATATAGCAGATGTATAAGGAATTGGCTGTGTCTGATTTTCAAGAATTGGTCTGCTAACTATCTAAAACGATTATAAAGACGAATGATATGGTTAATTCAATAAAGAAACATGGATCAACATGACAGTTAATTATTACTCAGAGATGTTTCAAAAATTGTTCCATACTTCATTGATGCTTGGAGCTACCAATTCTGTTCTTATCACTGATTCTGCAGATTTGGTTTGGTCAATCAAGGCATATGTCCTCAAAATTTGGGTCAAAGTTTCTTTTGAAGAAGCATCGTATGATTGATTTTTAACGCTGTGCAAAGCAGATCGAAGAGCAGATGATAAATTTGTACGCAAAGTCTCCTTTATTCTAGTGATCCTCTAAAATAATAAACAGAAAATTGCCATTATAAGATTGGTATTTTGAGAGAATACATCAAGACTCGCTTTTAAACTACACTTACCCAATCAATATTCGCAACAAAAGGTAGATCTTTCCCTTTGCTAACCAGGTATTGCATCTGATTATATTCAATTGCCACACGCTCGATTTGTTTTGCACTGTTTCCACTATTAAACAAAAGATATAAATGAAAAAACTGGGCTTGTATCATAATTAATATTTAAAAAAGCCAGATCTGAAAAGTACCTATCGTCTTTCGATAAAAGAGATGATGCACTCTCGCTACTAATTAACAATAAATTTTCGACTTTACGGACAGATTCATGGATATTAATGAGCAGTTGTAAAGAAGCCTAATTTATGGGAGTTTTTAAATAAAAGAATGTAATTAAGATCCGTATGAAAGGGCATGTGTCTTTGTAATAAACCTTAACATACCGTTGGGAAAACACCCATAGAATTACAGTACCTTCTTTTCTCGTATGGAGGCCCGGTGAGATAATTGATTTTCTAATGAATCCACAACATTCTGAAAAGTTGTACGGACATTCTGTGAAGTTCAACATATTTATTAATATAAGATGTTCTAAACATATAAATTGACGTGAAAAGAAATGCTAGAGGCATTTTTTAAATAGCCATAATGACATGCCTGAACTTCTTCTCTCATTTTTCCCAGTGGTCTTGCAACTTCTTCGATGACTTTATCCACACCTTTTAAATTTGTGGAAAGATCCACGAAACTAGCATAATCTCTATTAATCATTTCCACAAGTTCGCTTTTCAAACTTTTCAAATGCACATTCAATTCTTTTTTCAATTCGTCCAAGGTTAAGTGACGTCTATTTGCCAGGAAACGATCGCTATTGAAATCGGGAGTAGAAAACATTTCTCGATTAAGTGGTGGAGGAAATGGTAATGGAGTCCTCCCAAGATTCAAAAAATCCGGTGTAGGAAGTGGCTTTGACCATGTTTTCGTTTCAGAGGATTCTGGACCTGTATAAATGCTAAGTTTTGCCGGCTCAGAATTTCGAGGTTGAACCGTTTGTTCGATATTTGCAGATGTTGAAGAGGTCATGTCGAATATTATTTCTTGAAAGGATCTTCTATCATTTGATTTAATCACGTATTTTCTGTATTTCTGGTATTTTAGGTAATGCTTTACGGTAAATCACAGCGATCTATTCTTTAGATTTTTTTTTTTTTTTGTAAAATGGCCCACGTGATAAGACGTTGTTTTACCACCACAGTCTCAAGGCAGGCTAAAAAATTAACAATAGGTTTAATACCAGCTGATGGTATTGGAAAAGAAGTTATTCCTGTAGGTATTCATTCTTGCGAAAAATTTGATAAAACATGCAGATATTTTATACTTATGCATTCTTAGGGTGCGAGACAAGTTCTCGAAGCGCTTCCGAATATTGATGGGGATAGTCCAAGTTTTAATTTTATAAATCTAGATGCAGGATTTGAATATTTTCAAAAGAATGGAACAGCCTTGCCAGAAGTAACTTTAGAAATTATGAAAAATGAGTGTGATGGGGCACTTTTTGGAGCCGTTAGGTAATTGGGGATTTACTTTTTTTTTGATATGTTGATCATAAAATATTTACATTCGATTGAATTACTTAGCTCACCATCTCATAAAGTCGCTGGCTATTCATCTCCAATCGTAGCTATGCGAAAGCATTTAGATCTTTACGCTAATGTGAGACCCGTCGTGTCCGTCGCGTCTGAAAAGGACTTTAGTCAAAAACACGTCGATATCTTAATTATTCGAGAGAATACCGAATGCTTGGTAAGAATTTAACATTCCACAATAATTTATTTAGTAACTTGCATATTAATTGCATAAATTCCTGTGAATAGTATGTAAAACAGGAACGACAAGTAACTGATGAATCAACAGGATTAAAGGTGGCGTGGGCTGAACGGAAAATATCCGAATATGCCTCTAGACGGTGTGGTAAAATGGCATTCGAAATGGCTTTAGGAAGGGATAAACTTCGACAAAGTATCCCATTAGAAAAAAGATTTTGGAAAGGGAAGCCAAAGGTAACAATCGTTCATAAATCCAACGTATTGAGCATTACTGACGGTTTATGGCGAGAAACTGTGCGAGGCGTTAAAGAAAACGATCATAAATACAATAGTGTAGATATGGAAGAACAACTCGTCGACTCAATGGTATATCGCCTTTTCCGCGAACCTCATTATTTTGACGTCGTTGTTGCGCCAAATATGTATGGTGATATCGTCAGGTAAGATATTTCTTATATATCATATAAATTTCGTAAAAACACTCATCATTTTTCCGAATAGTGATGGTGCAGCCGCCTTAGTTGGCAGTCTGGGCGTTGTTCCAAGCGCAAATGTTGGAGACAATTTTGTCATGGGGGAACCAGGTATTTTAGGATTATTCAGTCCCATTTCATAGTAAAAGATCGGTTTAGAACATTCTTTTACAGTCATTATATTAATCCTGAGACATGAAAAAAGTTGCTGATAAATTTCTGATGTCAGTCGAAGTCCTCTTTGGTCTTAGGATTTATAGAATTTATGAGAATAGCTGTAAATTACAACTGTTTTCATAAATTCTGGGCGCCTAAATTTTACACATTCCCCGAGACCTCATTGATCTCGTTCCAAGAATCACCCAATTTCTCGAAAACCACATTGTTGTCTCTATCAAATCCCAAGGACAGCAAAGTAATTTCCGAAAAGTTGGGTAATTCCTAGAATGAAATTGAAGGGATTTGGGGAAACGCAACTTTTTAGTCTCCCAGAATTTATGAAAACAGCTGTAAACCGAATAAATCGGACCGATAACCTTTAATCTTAATTATATTTGTTGAACGAATTATTGAATGATCTTTTGTTATAAATAGTGCATGGATCAGCACCTGATATAGCCGGGCAAAATAAAGCAAATCCTATTGCCGCAATTCGTAGTGCAGGCTTATTGTTAGAACACATGGGTTTTCATCAGCAAGCACTATGCATTTATAACGCAGTGGATGGTGTGCTAAGACGTGGGGAAGTTCTTACACCAGATTTGGGTGGAAGAGCGACAACCCAACAAGTCGTAGATGCTGTCATTAAGTTAGTGACCTGACCCAATAACGAAAAAATCGGCCAAAGTTATTAATGATAATCATTACAATAAGTTTTTTTTACATATGTTGTGCCTAATACAGTCAAACCTCTATAGTCACACTCTTGGGATACCAAAAAGTGTGATTATAAAGAAGTGTGCTGATTATTGAGATCAAATTTATTATATATATTTAATAATATATAGTTTTTAAAAAAATATAGTTTTTAAAAAAATATATTTATAAAGAAATGTGCATATTTAGAAGGTGACTATATAGAGGGTTGACTATAAATTGTTATAATAAATCGTTGATAAAACTTTTAAAGAATTTTAATTAGATTTAATCATACAGTAGAAACTGGTGATAAATTTAAACCACTTTAATAGGATTGGATTACAAATAGTATTAATTTAAATTATAATTTTTGTATATTTGTACACAACCAAAAAAAAAAGATATTAAGAAAAATAGATAACCTAATCACAAACTTAATACTGTATTAAAATCAAAAAGTTAAATTATATAAATATTGATAATATATATATATATATAATATACACTTTTACTAAAACGCACCTATGGTGTTTTACCACCTAGGTTCCTATTTCTCAAAAACGTACTAAGTAAACGGGA